GGCACACAAGAGCGCGTCCCAACAGGAGCGCGGCGGGGGGCGTTTCGTCAGGACGCAGCTCTGCAAGTTGCCTTTTGGTTTTAATTCCACAGCGCTCACTCTTCAGCAGCCCTTGTTCAACCGTCACCATCTGTGACTTGCAAATAGAGCCTGGAGAAAAACTCACCAGAATGACCTCTTTTTAACTGAAGTTTCTCAGAGTCGCAGGTGGCCGCCCCATGACAAAGCCATATTACTGTACCAGGCATCTCCTCTGCGTCTAGGGTATCCGTAACGGAAGCCTTTGCCTGCTGGTACAGACACCCGTATCCACATGCTGTCTCCAGCAGATCTGAACCTCGTCGTCTCTGGACATACGGATGGCGATTTTGCACTTCTGAGTCACGGTTGGGTTTTATTTTTCTCGAGTGTTGCTTTAATTCAGTCCCGTTTATCAGTCAAACTCCATAGGAAAAATAAACGGCGTACAACCACGCGGCTGCCTCTCTCCTTCATTCCAGAGCAGCCGGGGGCTCCTCGGTGCAGGGCTGCCCAAGCACAAGCCCCAGCGCGGCCCCGCTGGGGGCCCCGCCCTCGTCTCCCCCGTCCTGCCCCCCGGCGCCCCAGGGGCCACCCCATCGGGCGGCCTCCCCAGCCCGCCCCGCACGCGGCTGCTCCGGGGACCGGCCCTTCCCTCCGCTCCGGCGGCACCGCCTCTCTGCTGGGCCCCGCTCACGTTTGTTTTTGTGGGGCTGCAAGGCCCAAGCGCTGCCAAACCCACATCCCACCCCGCTGCACGAGGGAACGTGTGTCCTGGGAACTCCAGGAGCCAGTTCCCGGCTCCCCCCATCCTCCACACGAGCACAGCGCAACGAGGCCGCCACCTCTGTTTCTTTTTTTACTTCTGGGTGGGGAAAAAAGGCAGCGCTTCTGCAGCCATCCTGTTTTCACTCTGAGAAGCTTCCCCTGTAGCAGGAGCTATGATGCTGCTATTGCCAATCTGATTTGCAGCTGCACTCGAGTTAGGCAAAACTCCCCAAAAAACAATAGCCTAGGGTGCAAGTCCTGACACGGGGCCTTGGCCTGGGCTCTTCCTCCAACTCACTCCGATGCATAAATTGTCCTGCTTTGCTCTTCCACCCTTTTTTTTCCCTCTCCTTTCTGTAAGATAAAAAAAGTTTCTACTGCAGCAGCTGCAGAAGAGATTTCTTTCTTTCCTCCTTTTTGACAGTCCCGCCTCAGGCACGCAGAAGCTCAAGCAGCAGACGAGGGTTTAGGACTTCCCAGCTGAGACATTTCTAATTACAGACTAAGGACAAATTTCAAAGTCATTCTGCACAGCAGAGAAACTATTTGAAGGCACTGAATCCACACCAAAATCCTCCCTGCTAACACAAGCTGTGTTACTACAGAGGGATGCGCGGTTGCTTTAAGCAGCATCTTGTGCGACAGGAGATGGATCCTCGCACGTGCCCAGGACCAGGGCCTCAGAAGCCGCCCCAGCAGCAGGGCTGCCTCAGCAGCGCCATGGAGAGGAACCTGCTCCAGCTGGTGTCTCCCCACAGGCCTTTTAGACACTGTGTATACACACACACAGACACACACAGACACAGGTGATTTGAGTATATTCTTGGTGTTGTCGACCCATTCACTGCTATACTGTTTCTTACTCTTACTGCTCTTCTTGCTAACCTTCCCAGTTACATTTAAAAGTCATCCTGTTGGATCACTATTAACTTTCACTTCCTCTGTCCTGAAATAAAAGGTAGAAGCAACTGGGTCTTGCAGCAGTATGAGTGAGCTTCACACCATGGTCAAGTAACGGCAATAGATCTATCGCAGAATCACCATAGGGGTGAGGTTGGAAGGGACCTCTAGAGATCATCTAGTCCAACCCTCCTGCTCCAGCAAGGTCACCTAGAACACGTGGCACAGGGCGGCATCCAGGCGGGTTTGGAAGATCTCCAGAGAAGGAGACTCCACAGCCTCTCTGGGCAGCCTGTTCCAGGGCTCTGTCACCCTCACAGGAAAGAGGTTTCTCCTCATGTTCAGGCAGAACTTCCTGTGTGTCAGTGTGTGGCCATTGCCTCTTACCCTATCACTGGGCACCACTGAAAAGAGTTTGGCCCCATCCTCTTGACACCCTCCCTTAAGGTACCTACTCACATTGATCAGATCCCCTCTCAGCCTTCTTCAGGCTGAACAGGCCCAGCAATCTCAGCCTCTCTTCATAGCAGAGATGCTACAGCCCCTTATCTACACTGGGCTCTCTCCAGTAGCTCCATGTCTCTCTCGTACAAGGGAGCCCAGCACTTCGGGTTAAAGATCTGTTTTGATCTCACCTAGAAGAGATTTATCTTTTCCTCTCAGATAACATGTCTCCCAAACACACACACGTTGATATTTTCTATCCATTCGCCGTTCTAGCTCAGAAGGGAAACCCTTTCCTGGCATTTGCGAGAGGGGCAGCATTAGCATTTCAGGCCTGAATGGAAATCAAGGCCACTGCCTTGCAGCTCAGCCTGAGAGAGCACGGAGGGCCCGAGCAGACAGACGCACAACACAAAAATATCCGACAGCCCTTGGGGGACTCGGGACCAGGACAGCAGCAAAACTCTTTCTTATGACAAAGTTTCATGCATGTAGCTGGGTGTCGCATGTAACTGGGACCACCAGCAGACTGCTACGTCACACGCAGCTCTTCAAATAAAAATCTTCAATTCTCCTGCCTCAACACATTCGTGGCCAGGTTATGGTTGGGCCAACACCTTTTTCCAACTCAGACTGTTTTTTCACACTTTTCTTTCCATCATTTCATTTTTTTTCTCTCCAGTTTCTTTTTTCTCTCCACTCTAAAACATCACTTTTTTGCTCCATTATGAAATAGGTTCCCCGACACCCTTTGTAGCCTCCACGCTCAACCTTGCTGTTAATTTTCCCTGAGTACCCTCCTTTGATCCCCTGGCCAGAGCCTCGCAGGCTGCCCCAGGCGGAGCCAACCCACAGCAGCAGCAAGCACCGCAAGGCAGCGTCAGAGCCTCCTCCTCAGCCCACCCCACACAATCCCTCAGGCGCTGGTTGAGGGAGGCGTCCGGACGGGCTACCTCAGCTCCTCAGGAGCTGCCCAGGCACAAGGAGCCTCCCCGCGGGGCCCATGTCGGCACTGGCTGCGCAGGAGCGAGCGGCCGCGGTGCCGGGAGCCCAGGGCCTCCGCGGGCTCCTTCCTCACGCGAGCTCCACGGCACTTGTTGCTGCCGCTCGTGATGGGGCGGCAGCAGTGCGTGTTTTCTTGTCATCGCCTGCAGACCACCAGTCTGGTCCCTTGCAAGTGTATTCCCTGGTGTGGGGGCCTGGGACAGAACCGCGCTTCTGCCCGCGTGAGGAGCGTTTTCCGGTCGCGTACTCGCTGGCCAGGTTATGCCCACTAGGAGCAAACTAAAGCGGCGCACAAGGCCGCGAGGGAGCGTTTTGCCTTCACCCAGAGAGGAGTTCCGAGCGCCAGGGAAAGGCAAAACACGATCTGAAGAGAAAAGGCCAAAACAGGCCTGAGCGATTTCAGAGCTTGACTCCCTTTCCCTGGTTCCCCTGCTTTGTGCAGGAAACCTGCGATCGCTGTGGAGGATTTTGAGGACCCTCAAACACTCTCCCCTCACCGCTCGGGCCTTGAGCAGACGGCCGGTCTCCACAGCACGGGGGGGCGTTTTGCAGCCCAACCTGCGTCAAGTACCAGGACAGAGGCCGGGACGGGAGGAGGGATGGAGGGGGCGGCCGCTCTCCTGCAGCTCCTCGGTGGAGGTGGCGCCGGCCCGACCGTGCTCCAGCCCAACCGTGCTCCGGCCTCGGATTCCTCCTGCCGTTATCTCGGAGCAGCGACCCCCGTGTCCCACACATGGAGGCAGAAACGCTCCAG